TTTGCAGATTAAAAACAAACAGAATCTCAAGGTTAAAGAGGTTCCAGGATTGGGGCAGGTGCTGAGAATTGCTCTAGATTCCACTTGGAGAGCTGAAGGAACCAAAGGCATTGACTCAGGTGTAAGTTAGTGAATTACTTCCAACCTTCAAGGAAGAAGACCAAATAGCAGCGATAGCAAGACAATATCCACCGTTATTGCCAGAAGCCATTCTTCAGTCTCATCTATGTACTGAACAAACAGCTTTGGCCTCTTTTGCAATGATGTGAGTAGTATGTATCTTTTATTTCCTTGAGACAAAAATACTCCTGACCATTTCTAGGCTTTGTCCTTGCAGAGGTGAGGGGGAGTGGAGGTGGAGCCCAAGACAGGAGCAGCTCATCTGCTCTCCCAGCCCCCTGGAAGAAGGAAAGCCCTAAAAAGGATCACAACTGTATCATAGTGGTCCTCATAAGTGTGCCTGTGCTCAGCTCCAACTTTGGGTTTTGTGAGATGACTGCTCCCAAAGCACACACACTCTGAGGCCAAGGATGAGTCAGAGGGATGCTGTGAGTGGTGTGCTGGGTGGTACAAGTAAGTCCTTGTTTGTGGGAGTCCATTAAAGAAGAAAAATTGTAATTAATGCCAATCAGCATGAGTTCATGGAAAATAGAATGTGATGTCTCTCTTTGGCTTTGTTGATAAAAGTGATAGTAGTGCACAAGGGTTCTGTGAGACGTTTGACTGGGTACCACATGACATTTTGATTAAGGATCTAGAGCAGTATAAAATCAAGAGGGTGTGCGTTAAATGGATTAAAACCTGGCTCCCTGACAGGTCTCCAAATGTAACTGTAAATCATCTGCCAGCTGTGTTTGTAGCGAGGTCCCTCCAGTATTCTTGCAGTTAATATCTTTATCAGTGACATGGAAGAAAATGTAAAATCACCACTGATCTGGTCTACTGATGGTGTAATGAGACAGGAAATGGTAAATAATGAGGAGGAGAGGTCACTGACATGGAGGAATATGGATCGCATGGGGAGCAAGGCTCCAGCAAACAACAAATATGGTGATACAGGTGAATGTAAGAACAAAGGTTAAAGCTGCTTTTCTAGGACAAGTGCTGCAGGATGCTGAAGAAACATCTGGGGTGTGGGCAAAAGTCATCTGCGAGCTTTGGCTAGGCTTGGTAATGTATGATGCTCCTTACAGAGCATCTCAGCAGGACTGATCCAGTTCAGATTGGTGACTGGCATCTACGTGTGGGGAAAAGCTGAAGTCCTGCTCACAGTGGGGTCAGTATCAAAAATCCCAGTGGTTTGGAGGAGGTGGAACTTCCATGAATGTTCTTAGGAACATTTTACCCTGGTCTACGCACAATGGTGAAACAAGCCAGAAGTTATTTTTAAACCAATGTATTACGTGTTCCTGGATGAAAGCTTCAAAATTAATTTAAAACTACTGCAGGGTGTGTCGCTTGCAACTCCAGGGCTCTAGAAAGAGGTTCAATCCGCAGCAGCTGTGCTAGCTGACACATTACCTTACCCTATGAGTTTCCAGTGGTATGTGGTTCTTACCCATCTTGACTTGGAAAGGCTTATATCCACCAGAGGGGTGGCGATGTGTATCTCGTGGTCAGAGCATCATCTAGCACAGCAGAATCTAGAGGAGAGGGATGTTCACAACAACCTGTATTTCCAGCATGAATCTGCTCTTAGGACTGAGCTAAGCGTGTTTAAGCTGGTGTTTCTGTGTGTTAGTGTTGCTTGATAAATAATATTGAAAGCAGTTCAAGATTTGGTGAGATGAACAGGCTTTTGCCAGAACCTCCCATGGGGCAACTAGAGGTCATTCCCCCCCATTCTGTCATATGTCAAATCCCTCTACACACACAAAAAAAAAACAGGTTAACAGCATGCTTGTGATGGCCTAATGAGCTGAGCTACTCAGGAAAGCAGCGTGTGTGTCTGGTAGCCAGGTTACACATGGGCAGTTAGGCTAAGCAAAGAAGACAAGCCTAAACTGAAATAACACCTCACAGTGCTGCATGGGGTGGAAAGTCACTGCTATAGGCATAGCTGCAATTCAGCTATCAGTATGGCCCGCGGTGATGCTGGAAGAGCCATCATTTGCCTCCTCAATAATCTGTCACCCATCGCTGCTGCCTGCAGCAGGGGAAGTTTAATTTCCTGCGAATCATTTGCAAGCTTTAATTTTACATTTTTCCAGGCTTCTGTTGACAAAATAGTTGAGAACAAGCCTGGTGTGGTGGCTGCTGTCGGAAGTTGTCCTCTGGTCAGCACTATCTCCATCATCTCCAGGGTCACCTGTTGGCTGGGCTCCTGGAGCATCCTAGGTTGGTGGATTGGAGATGTTGGGAGAAAAGTTGTTTGAGTTAAACACGAGTGTCTGATGTCAGGGGATTCCTGCCAGTCATTGTTCTGCTGCCTGCTTGGAAACAGGCTGAACTCTGTGGTTTTTCTATGCAGCATTCTTATGTAGCTGGCTGAGTTGACAACATGATAAATGCAATTATTTTTTCCAATTGTTATTTTTGCCCAAAGCATGCAATTGACTCTGAAATCTGCTGGACAGAGAAGGAATGCAGCATCCGCTCACAGCCCCGCAGTGGCACAATGATACTGAAGGAGTAGCAATGGTGGGAAGCAAGTGCTGCTGTATGGCAATGGCTAGGGACAGGCACCAGCTCATGCCCCCTTGGTCTCACCATGGGTTCTGGTGCTTGGGAACAACCTGCTTTCTTGTTGTGAGGAAGGATGAAGCATAGGATCCGGCAACCTTGATTTCCACCCCCCCCCCCCCCAAAAGAAAATGTCTTGGGGTGACTTGGGCCTCTGGCATCCAGTGCTGCATGCCACAACATGGCATTGAGTGACAGGGACTAGAATGGTCACAGACATGGGCTGATGGTTGAACTAGATGGTCTAAGTGATTTTTTCCAATCTTTATGATTGTATGAGTGAACGTGGTGTAGATGGACTGGTGGTTGGTCTAGAAGTTCTTCATGGTCTTTCCAGCTTTAATTGATTCTATGATACCCAGCCAAGCAAAAGGACAGGCTGCCTGAGCTCTCATCATGGTGGTTAAAGTTTGTTTTAGCCATCTTATCTAATCTCTCTCCTAACTTTTGCTGGGGGAAAACATTTATTGCTTATATGGTGTTATTCCACGAGCACTCACTGGCTGGGGCTCTCTGCGTGTGTGTATGTAGATATGAAGACCGATAACTTCAGGCCTCACAGTTTTATGGGTCAGTCAATCCCAACTGCTTACAGCGACAGATGTGGGGATGTGCTGCCTTCGTTACCTGTGGGCCGTGCACTATCAGGGTGTAAATCAGCAAAACAGGGCTCTGTTTATGCACATAAATTGCCCCAATATGACAGCTTAATACCCTTTTGACTTTTTACCCTCTGCGGGGGAGAGCCTGCAATGTCTTATGGCCCTGTTCGCCCCAGTGATGATGCAGCCCATCTATAAAGGCATGGAGCACACTCTGCTCCTTAGCCTTCAGGGTTGGCCGCACAGCCACCAGCACCCCGGAGGGGATTGGCCCTTCAGCAGACTAGTCCAGCAGGAAATTATCTACTCTCCCTCTGCTAAATGACCTGCTGGGCGGCCGGTCACAGGGGCCTGAAAATGCCAGCTCCAGCTATTCCCCTGTGGACATGATTCCTAGGCACGCAAAACCAGTAGCTTGGTCACCGGAGGGCAAAGCCACCCATCCGTGTCCCCAGCAGCACCTTGCGCAAGGCTGTGGCTCTGCTCCGCATGGCCCTGCCCAGCTGAAGGTCAGCAAGGGGAATTTTCCCTGAGCAATGTCATGGGAAAACCTGCTGGGCTGCCTTCAAGGTGTTGGGTTGCTCCAGGAGAACTCTGGGTTTTGTTTTGTGTTTTGGTAGGGTGAGAGATGAGATAGCGAGGGGTTGGTGAGAAGGGATGAGGAGATGCCAGGATATTGCAGTGAAATGGATGGTTGAGATGTTTTCTAGAGATTCTCGAATTTTAATGATGTGGGAGTAAGACTTTGAAACAGAGATATTCCTTTTGAAATATACTTTCTAATTCTTAGCCCTCTGCCTGTTTCATTGGCTTGGACAACAGGTGCTCATTGCCCATCCAAACCCTCGGTAGCTCCCTTGGATTTTTTTCCTTTATTGATTACATCCAGCATTGAACTCAACCTGAAAAAAAAAAGACTTTTGACTGCGCATTTTTGCTTGTGCTGGCAGTGACCAGCCCTGGGGGGCTGTTAACTCAGCCATTGTGCTTTCTCCCCAGCCAGAAGCATCCCCACACTGTTACATAGGAAAGAGACACTGGCAGCTCACCATTCTCAACCTGGTTTTAAAGTATAGTTCCGGGCTGAAAATTTGATGTTTCTGGTGCCAGTGCTACCCTATGGCTGCAAATACCTCTTTTTACCCAGCTGGGACAGCTTCTCTTGCTGATCCCATTCTATTTACTGATATTTCTCAGGAAGAGGGGATATCAAATGCTGCTGTTCCTATGGAGCACTGAGCTCAGCTTCCTGCAGAGAAGTGTATGAGACAGCTCAAGGTTGGATGCTCTGATGTTTTGTATCAAGCAAGCACACGCTGCAGCCTTTCTCTCAGCCTGAGTTTGCCTTTCTCTCGTCTGCCTAGCCCTGGGAAGGCTCATAAGCAGTTGGGTTCTTCGAGGACTCTGCCCTTCTGGCAAACTTGGTTGAAATTGGCCAGCAAGTTCACAGGGTCTATTAGGGACAGAAAGACACACCCATGGCACAGTCACAAAAGAGTTGTTTCTTTAGGAAACCAGGCTGGGAAAAAAGAGATTGTTTAAGTAAGCAAATATATTTCTTGGAGGCAGTAGGGCAGAGAGTGGTAGGGGGAAGCACTTTGTTTATGCACCTATTGGCCTAATGTCTTTTTAAGCATTGGAGTTTCATGACTGAAATCCCTTTGTCTGTGTTTATGCCCATTTTGTTGCAGTTCTCAGTACTCGCTCTGCGCTTTGCCTCCCAACCTCCTGTTTTGCTGCAGGACCCCACGGATCACAGCCCTGAAATCAGCCTTGCACATACAAACAGTGAACACATGGAGAGGAAGGTGAGCGTGGATGTGAACACACTGGTAGCTAAAAGCTGTCCTCTAAAGCTCCTGTTTTTGGATTTGCAAACTCCCTTTCTCTATCAACTCCAAAGCACCAGAGCAGCTCATTCCAGAGTGGTAAAAGCCCTTTTGGTCTGAGCCATCAGCCCAAAATCCAAGAGCCTGCAAGGCACTCTGAGTATGCCAGAAACGGGTGCAGCACTCAGGTGTCCCTTTGATGCGCTCCTGTTTATTTACAGAGGGTCCAAAAGGTCCCATTCCCCCTGAAGGTGGCAGGAAACAGGCAAGAACAGAGCCCTGTGCCCTGTCCTTCCTGCCAAGGCTGACCCTATGTCCCACCCCTGGGTGCACATGTGGGTCCCCGTGTCTCCATTTCATTTTTCTCCTGGCAAACTCAACGCAGGAAATCAGGCTGATTAAAAACTTTTTTTTTTTTTTTTTTTTTTTAAAGAAGGGGAAAAAAAAAAAAGGAAAAATGTATTTCTTTAATTTCCCCCCCTCCCCTTCTTCTTAACGATCATTTTAATTAGGTTTGAAAAACTTACTGCTGAGCTGACAGCCAGCTGACAGGGCTCCCTTTCACCAGATCACCCAGCTCAGGGCTTTTCATCTTGCGTGCAGAATATTTTGACATTCCTGCTTTCTTGGCTCTGTACATAGAGCCCAGTGGAACCTGCAGCCTAATTAAATGTAACAATTCCTGAAAATGAGGGTTGTTATTTTTTTTTCCTTGGGATAAGAATAGAGGTTTTATTTTAAAAAGAGCTAATCTATTTACTCTGTGCTGCCTGCTTCCTGACCTGGCCTCTGCACCTGAGGGGACAGGAACAGAACAGATTAGGCAGGGACTTAGTCACTGGAAAAGATGATGGTATTGGTGCATGCATGTGTCCCATGTGCTCAGAATGTTGAGAGGCAGAAGGTTAGGAGGCCATGATTTTCCCCTGACTTTTTTTCCTTACTTAGAATCATAGAATTATGGACCCATAGAATTGTTTGAGTTAGAAGGGATCGTTACAGGTCATCTGGTACGACACCTCTGCAAAGAGCAGGGACACCCACAGCTCCATCAGGTGCTCAGAGCCTGTCCAGCCTGAGCCTGGGTGTCTCTAAGGATGGGGCACCACCACCTCTCTGGGCAGTTCAGTGCTGGTTTTTCAGCACTGCTGTATCCATATGACTCCAGGGACCCACTTGTCCCTCCTCGACCACCTGCCTGCAGGGATGGGGAGCTGATCATTTGCAAACAGGCCCACAGAAGCCAATGAGTGATGATAGAGCCATTGTATCAAGAGCTTCATGACACAAGACAGCAAAAGGTAATCAAGGTTTGGGTGTACCCAACTGTATGCCAGCAATCTGCAGCTCTGGGTGCCCAGAGCCTTCCTTCCAGAGCATTTACCACATTATTTCATTTTGACTGTGGTACTATTGGACCCTTTAGCAAAACCCTTCATTCCCATCACCAACAAACCATGGCTGTGCTCCAGGAAAAAGTGGGGTTGGCACCCAATTTCCTTTCTATGCCCTCCCCAATGGTGCAGATGTAGGGCATGAACAATGCGAGCCACTCAGGCTCTCCCTCTCCCACGTTCTCCTCTCCATCTCAACCCTCTGTCCTCTAGCACCAGAAATCAAAGCCTGCAGGCTGTGTGCCCCGTCTGGACACAGCGGGCTCGCCAACGGTGTCCGGAGCCTTTCTCAGACTGCAGCCTGATGGCAGCAATGAATCAACAGCCAGTGGACTTGTCAAAGGCATTCCTCCACTTTAATCCTATTGACAGGGACTACTGCCTGGAACAGGAACTGCGGGGTGAGCCATGTCAACAGCAGATTCTTATTACAGATAATATTGATGGGGCCTTTACTTGAATAATGAAGGGAAGAGCCCTCTGCTTTGACGTTTGTCTCCAAAACCTAGAATTACTAAGAGTTTAACCATCGGAGGGGAGCTTAAGATAGTTGCATCTTAAAGGATCTGCTTTCTTGTTGCATTCAAGGCTGGGGAAAGGAGTTTAGCCCATACACTGAGAGCTCCGCACTGACCTTTTCACTGCTCTTAATAAATGTTACAGTTAAATAAAGTCGGATGGATTTTTCTATCTACTGTAGCATGTTATCCACTTTCTGGGAGGAAAAAAAAGGTAAAAAAAAAAAAAAAAAAAAAAAAAAAACACCACCCAAATCCCTGTTTAATATCACTGTTACTCATTATCTTTGGAAGCTGCAGGGTGAAAGGCAAGTAGGAAGGGCAGGGGCAGGACAATCCAGGCTGAATTATCAGGGTAATTCCTACCATCACGCATGATTATGTATCTCTCTCTCTAAATATGGTTGAATCACGGCTGTGCAAATTGGTTGTGATCTTATGGATAAAGCTCAAACAAGAGTCAAGAGCTCTGGACATGTCTGGGAAAAGGTTTTTTGCCTTTTTTTTAACTATCATTTTTATTATTGTTTTCCACTCTTCAAAAAGAGCTGCAGGGTCTGTATTTCTTGGTTCCCTACAGGAGTGGAGACGCCAGAGCTGCAGGGGAGAGGCTGCCTGGGAAGTCAAATGAGGGCAGAAGGCATCAGCCTTTCCAGGAAAGAACCTGTCCTTGCACATTTCCTCGTGTCTGGGCTTCAATATCGTGATTAGGAGCACATGGTGAGAAAAGGGACAGAGGATGGGGCTAAGCAGTGGGATCCCCACTCCTGGATTTTTAAAGGCAAGCAGGAGCTCCAAAGTGTCCTTCTGAAGCCCTGTTCTAGAGCTCTTTATAAGTAGGGGTTGGACCTCTGGCTCCTATTTGGACAGATGAGGAAGACAGCAGGCAAAGTTGGCCTTCGGCCACACTTATACCTCCCAGATCCTAGCGCTGGCCCAGGACTGAACTGGCAGGTGGTTTAAGTTAGAGCAGCCCCGTGGCTGCTCTAACTTAAGCCAGCTGGAATCTCTTCTGGGGCCAGTTCTACCAGCCAAGGTTTGCTGGATTACAGCAGGGCCCCGAAAGGCTCCAGCCCACCCCTACATGGGCTACACAAGAGGTCCAGGGAGCAGATGACATGAAAATGTCAGGGCAAGGCCCAGCTGGTGCTTTAGGACAGCTTTAATTCCTTCATGCTGCTGCAGAAAATTGGTGTCTGGTCCAAGGGAGTCTGTTCTCATGGTATTTTTAGTCTGATTTTGAGGACCCTAGGAGTTTTGGATTGCCATTAAGTCTGAATTTTATATTTTCTGACTTGAGCTATCAAATATTTTCCATATATAAACAGCAGCCACAACATTTCAGGTTGGATGAGTTGTATTTTAGAAATATTTTTTTTTTTTTTAAAGAAGAAAACTAAACCACCAACTGGTTCAGAGTTACTGTCCTTAGCTGAGCATACCTTGCTCTGCAAGGTTTTCCACACTGGAAGAGGCTCACAGCAAGAGGATAGGCATGTCTCCTCAAGGCACTGATTTAACAGCTAGATCTGTCCCAGTGCCCTCATGCTTTCTGATCCACAAGATCCCACAGCAGACATCCTTCAGAGCCAGGGATAAGCCCTGGTCAGGCTGGTGGTACTTGTGAGCTCAGGACACAAAGGGATCAGCAGCGCCAAGTTGCCTTTGAGAGCTGTGGGCATGGCTAGATTATAGAATGATAGAATTGTTAAGGTCGGAAATGCCTCTAAGATTATCTAGTCCAACCACCAACCCACCCTCGCCATGTCCACGACCACATCCCTCAGTGCCACCTCTCCACAGTTCTTGAACACCTCCAGGCACTGTGACTCCACCACTCCTGGTGCAGCTTGTGCCAATGCATCACTCCTCTTTCTGAGAAGAAATGTTTCCTAACACCCGACCTGAACCTCTCCTGGCACAACTTGAGGCCATCACCTCTCATTCTATTGCTGTTACTTGTGAGCAAAGCCCAATCTCCACCTCACCACAACCTCCTTTCAGGGTACTGCAGAGAGTGAAAAAGTCTTCCCTGTGCCTTCTCTTCTCCAGATTGAACCATCCCAGCTCCCTCAGCTGTTCCCTGTCAGATGTGTTCCAGACCCTTCACAGATATCTGTGGCCCTGCGCTGATGTGTATGAGCAGAACAGTGTGTGGCTCTGGAAGTACTGGGGCAACGCCATTCTCATCTTCATGTGGTTTCATTGGGAGCTGAAATCTGGCCAACGTGGGCCATAGGTGGTACCCATGGAATTATCTGAGACTTCACGTAACTCAATTGGGCACTTCAGGACATGAGAATAGATCAAAACCATGAGATATGTTTTCCTTTAAGAAAAGGAAGAAGAAAATACGAAATCTTTTAAAAAGAAAAAAAAAAAAGTTGTTTCCACAGTACTTGATTTCAGAGTTGAGGAGGTGCTTTAAAGGATACTGGGCTTGCATTTCTCAGCTTTTCTCTAGAACCTGGAGGCTTGTGAATTGCCTGTTCCTTTTTCTTTTCTTTGTAAAATGAAATGTGAGATTTTTGCATAATTCACCAGAGCATGGAGCTGGGGAGGGGGTGAAGAAAAACATTAAGTACTGTGGGACTGAAATTGCAAGAGTTGGCAATGCTGATTTTTTTGTTTTTTCTTTCCTTTTTTCCAGAGAAAAAGAAAACACCCCCCATTTTGCTAGCCCCAGCAGGGTGAACAGAAGGAAAAGGTGCTCCAGGGCAGGAAGAAACTGTGAAGAAATAGGTTTGCAAACTCCATTTATATTGGATTGTTTAAAAATTGTCCTGAGAGCTGCCTTCTGGGGACAGCTGTCCTACTCTGAAGGAGGAAGAGCAGAGATGTGTGTGGGGAGAAGCTGTGTGTGGGACTCTTGGGGCTGGGATGGGACTCAGGTTGCAATTGCCTCTGGTTGCTCTCAGGCCTGGGGAAGGCAGGGAGAGGCTGGGCACATGGAAGAAAGGCTCCAAAAAGCCCTTCATCCTGTAGGAGCGACATCTCCCTCTGCAACAGGAGAGGTCTCAGTTGGGCCATAAGCTGCTCTGACAAGTAGAGAGATGAGAAAGGCAGCTGAATCATAGAATCGTTTGAGATAGAAGGGCCCTTTAAAAGGCATCTGGTCCAACCCCTCCGCAACAATCAGGGACACCTACAGCTTCATCAAGAGCTCACAGCCCGTCCATCCTGACCTTAGGTGTCCCCAGGGACCTATCATCTCCAGGTCCCTTCCCTGCCAGCCGTCTGAAGTCATGGCAGTGCTGCAAATGCCTCAGTGCTCAGGCAGGACATGCAGAAAAAGCTGAGCTGCCCTGGAGATGCACAAGGGCTGGTGATACCCAACCTGCAGCCACAGCAGTGGATAAAAGGAGGCTCAGCATTGCATTGCATTAATGTGCTGCATCCCAAGAAATGTTTCTTCAGGGTGGAAGAGTACTGGTAAGGGTCTCTACTAACGCATCCGTAGCTAGTATCTGGTCTGGACTGCTCAACAGCAGAAATGAATGCATCCATCTTGCCTTGGCTGCACATGGCATGCACAGGGGGACTGTTCCTTATTAGCACTCACAGCCATTGGCAAGAGCTGCTGGAACAGAGGTTGAGCTCCAACTGCTATTCCTGCCTCTCCTCCTTCACTTGTGCTTGTGTCTTTCTCAAACTCATTCCTTTTGGAATTTTCCATGCTTTATCCAAGCCCAGTGACAAGTTTTTGCTCTGAAGGTATGGACTGTGCTGGTTGGAATCCCCTCTGTGGAGCTCCTCACCAATGGTGAAAGTTCATCTTTCATGCCCAAGGAGATGTCAAGCTGAAGAAAATCTTTAGATGATGTATTCTGATTTATTTACTTGTTTATTTGTTTTGAAAATTGACTTAAAAGTTTACATTTCCATCAACTGGAACATAAAAGGAAATCAATTGTTTAGATCTCCCCAAGTGGAAAGCTGCAAAGGTCTGGCAAAACTGAAGTTTTTCCATGGAACATTCAGATTTTGTGAAAATCATGCTTTCTGTTGAAAAAAAAATACAAAAAACAAAAAAAAACAAACAAACAAAAAAAAAAAAACAAAAAAAAAAAACACCTGATCATTAGTCTTTGATCTACTCTACTTTTAAAGAATGATTCAAAAATATAAGGGCAAATATCTCCACTTCTAGCATTGAAGTATATCAAGACTTTTTTAGTGCAACTTCAATTCCATCCCCTTAGTGAAGAGGCTAAAAAATTTCTCAGGTTGAGGAAAAGTATTTTATCAGTTAGGAAGTTGTGGAAATTTAAAATGGATATCTTAATGCGTGTACTGGATTTGCAGCTTGCCTTTCTTCCTATCTGGATTGAGGATGCTGGTCTTAAAAGCCCAGTGTTAACTCAGTTATGAGTATCCCTGGTAGGAGGCTTTTGGTTTGCTAGCATTTTCTTCTTTAATTTTATTTCTTAAAAAGAAAAAAAGAAAGAAAGAAAGAAAGAAAGGGCAAGTCAAACACAGAAAAATCTGTTTAGAACTGAAGAAGCAAAAATTACATCTTGGCACTGAGAAACCTCCATTCATTATGTTTCTGTAGCAGTGATTGTAGGGTTGAATTTATTATTGACAGGAATTTTGTGGTTTAATGCACATTTTTCTTTGGATTTTCAAATTTAAAGATTGTTTTCCTTTGACAGCCTTCTTTTTCTTAGAAAGTCAGGATAACCAAATAGTAAGCCTAACTAATTAAATCTTCAAAAGCTAGCGAGTTCCAGTCCAAGGATTTGTGGCATTAGAAAGTTAACACAGGGTCATCGCACAAATGTAGAATTTTCTCCACTCCCTTCTCCACCCCATCATGTCAGGACAACTTCCTGAATGTCTGGAAATTGTCTCCACAAGCGTATGAATGCAAATATTAATTTGGTACTTCCAGACACACACGCATACATATGAAATTGGCGTAGTCCGTGTACTGAGCACGCATGAAGTGGTTCCTTGAATGCACAGTGCATTGGCAAAATGCTCAGAACGTATCATGGTGGATGGCTTGATTTGAAACATAAAGATAGGTGATAAGAAATTCTTGCTCTAAAATCATTTATGTATGTTTCAAACGACTCACTTAAAGGGGAAAATGTTTTATAATTAACAGATAAGAGTAACTGTGACACTTTAAATAAATGCAGTGTATTTGATTTTTGAAGTAGCGTTTAAGATTCTGGAGATGTGTTCAAGAGAGAAGGAAGATGCACTCAGAGTTGAAAATGAAGAAGCACTGTATATCATCTTAAGAAATTATGTGACCTCACATGGATCCTTATTCCTAAAAGCCTTCGCTTCCTAGGAGATGGCAACGGCGCTAATTAAAACAGAGCTGGTAAGAAGAAGGCCCTACAAGGGAACTTGGGCTTCTTTTCCATGCCGACAGCCATGCAAGGAGAGAGCATTCAAAGATCTAGCCATGGAGGAAGTAACTGGGGAAAAGCTACCTCTACAGATTCTAAGGGAAAATACAGGGTGTATGGTACTGTGAATGTTAGACACAGCAGGTGTGGTATTGGAGAGCTGGTGACCAGTTCAGTGGGCTGTTTTGCTTAGTTTGAGCATGTGTGATCTTAGGCCCTGTGCTGGGCTAAGTTCCTACAACCTTTCTGCAGGTAAATGGGCAGCAGCTAGAGGTGGACAGCTGCATGGCAGAAAGGGAAATGGGTGTTTCCCGACAGCACGTTTATCTGCAGAGTCCATCACCAGAATGAATTAAAAAAATACTCTGATTTCCATGGCACTTTCTTCTCATTTCCTAACTGCTGCTCAGGCAAAGCTGTTATTAATTCAGGAGGAGTCTGCCTGAGCAAGAAGTCTCCAGAGTCCAAAATATTTCGCAGAGAGTAAATATAAGAATTTTTCACCTACCACAGAACAGCATCAGCCTCTGGGTTGAATGCAGGAGCTGTTTAACAATGCGCAGAAACATTTCCCCACAGGTTTGGACAGGAGTTGAAGGTTTGTATGCCCAACTGAGCCTACATCCGAAAGCAGTGAGCTGGACGGACACTCTTGGTGTGGGATGGGCTTGGAGGGTGAGTGCTACCTGCCTGAGTACCACACCGCTTCCTTTAGGACACTGGGAGACTTGCTGGAGCTCGCCCATCTGACCCAGTCCTCCACATGAGATCTGGCAAGATAATCACTCCAAGCGTCTGGGTAAGTACTGCAAAATGCTTCAAATAAATGAATAGAAATCATCTGCTTCGTAGATGCCAAGGGCTTTCAACATGTCGTTTCTTGGTAAACAAAGAATTTCAGCACGACAATATCTTAGGATGTTATTGGCCATATTTGTTCCCTCGTGCATATTGAAGTGAATGCGAATGAGGTTGCACAGCTTTCCTTTACGTTCTCCTCTGGCTTGGAGATTTTCTTCCTGCTGCAGTGGAGATGAGGGGGCTGCTCTGGCTGCACCGGCTGCACCTAAACAGATCCATCTGCCCCTACACCCCCAAACTCTTATTTCTGTGATGGCGAAGGGCAGGTGGAAGTTCTGCTCGTGCTTGGTGTTGCATGAAGTGCCATACACTCCAAGTAGAAAACAAAACAAAATACATCTTTTTTTGGTGGACATTAGAATGCAATAAAAACGTGTGTGCTTCCCCCACCAACCCCAGCTAAATTGATTACATCTGGTGGCATGAAAAAAATAGCCAAAATGTCAGACTGAGTCACACAGCCCCCTTGGGTGGTTATATTTATTTCAGGGTTGGAGCACTCATCAAAACAATTTATCCTTGGCTCTCCTTTTCTGCCTTCCCATCTCTGTGCTTACAAACTCTTCTGTGTTCCCTAACACTTACGTTTAGCCCCAAGCTCGCTCCTTCCCTGGATGTTCCTTTCTCCTTCTTGTTTCTCCCTCTCTAGCTCTGGCTCCATTCCCTCTCTCCTTTCCCTTTGCTAAATCAACCCCAACAAACCCTGTAGCTGCAACTCTCCACTAGGGATGGCAGAGGAAGCTGGAGCACAGGCTGTTTCTAAGACTGTGTCACCTATTTAATATCTCATTTCACATTACTTGGGGTGAAGGGGCTTGATAAAAATGAGTGAGTGAGCTCCCTGCTGTTGTTTCCATCATCTCTGCCACCAGTGGAGCAGCCAGTGTGGGACTGTCTTGTTTGGACTGCCATGGCTCCATCCCCAGCCTCACTTGTTCTCCCTTGGCTGTGACAGAGGTAGATCTGCCAAGTCTCTTTTGGTGGATTCCTTGTCGGGCTCATCTCACTTGTGTCCTATGTTTTCTCTCTGGCAGGGAGCATCACTAGAAGAAAGTTCAGTGTGATGAAAAAAAAGAGATAAAAAGAGAGTGTGATGCAGCAGGTGAGGAGAACTTCATCACCAAGAGCATAAATCCTCATTTTCACCCCTCTTCCAAAACCTCGTCCTTCTATCCAAATCACAAATGGCCACATCCTACCCAAGGATACCCTGCATATCTTGGTTCATAAATCCCTTTGCAATTTGCTGCTAGGTTGAATCTGATTTAGGATGAGAAGGAATGGCTTCAAGTTGTGCCCGGGGAGGTTCAGGTTATATGTTAGGAAAATCTTCTTCTCCAAAGGAGTGGTCAGGCACTGACACAGGCTGCCCAGGGAGTGGTGGAGTCACCATCCCTGGAGATGTTCAAGAAATGTGGAGATGTGGCGCTGAGGGACAACTGGTTAGTAGACAACATTAGAGGACAATTGGACTGGATGATCCTGATGGTCTTTTCCAGCCTTAACAATTCTACGATTCTATGCTCTCATACATTGTGCCAACCACAGTTGTTCAGAATCCTTGTGGACTGGAATGGCTGCAGAAACTGTAGAATTATAAGATCATTTATGTTGGAAGGGACCCTTAAAGGCTTCCTGGTCCAACTCCTCTGCAATGAACAAGAACACTTACAGCTCCATCAGGTGCTCAGAGCCCATCCAGCCTGACCTTGAGTGTCTCCAGGGATGGGGCATCTGCCACAGCTCTAGACAACTTGTGCCAGTGCCTCACTGTCCTTATTGTAAAAACTTGTTCCTTATATGCAATCTAAATCTTCCCTCTTTTAGTTTGAAACCATTTCCCCTTGTCCTGTCACAACAGACCCTGCTAAAGAGTCTATTCCCTTCTTTCTTACAGTCCCCCTTTAGATACTAAACACCGCTCACAGATCACCCAGGAGCCTTTTCTTGGGACTCAAACTCTTGATTATTCTTGCTTTGGGGCTGAAGGATTGCCCAGCACGCTGCTTTTCCTCCAACAGAAAGAACTCCTTGCTTTCTCCACTGCTCCTGAGGAACCAGTGGCAGATGATGGAGACAGAGCGGCTCACTGCTCTCATGGCTGGAGAAGTGGTAGGAAGCTCCTGGCACCACAACATCTGAGTTAATGTACTCTGCTCTGCCCGTTGTGCCTCCTTGCTCCCAGCATGGGCATGGGCTCCTGTTATGCAGCGTGCCACATTTTTTTCCTGCGGTAACTCAGAGCCTCCTGGGATCTGGTATTGTGCTTTTTTTCCCCCCCAGGTATTTTTGTCTGTGAACCACAGAAAGCTGAATAGCAGGAAATGAAGTGCAGATTGAGAACATGGTTGAGTGCACTTGCTAAAATAAAACATTGGGGGGAGGAGGGAGAGATTCTTTTATAAATAGAAAATGAAGTGTGTTTATTTTTTATTGATGAAGTATTTAATTGCTGTGAGGATTTGAGAGATGTTTGTAGCTGTGCATTGACTAGAAAAGCTGCTTGGTCTTTGGTGCAATCACCCTGCTCCATCAAATCACCTGTTTCACAGCTGGGAAGGACACGGGGATGTCAGGATTTCTTGAAGTTCTCTGATTTGCCACCGTTGTGCCAGCAGTTTTGGAGAAATTGCTGGTTTCTTCTCCCTGCATCCTAGGAAGACGCAAAGACGAGATGAGAGGATGTGTTCAGCAGCAGAAGAGAAAGTCTCTGGCCAGCACACTTGCACTTTGGCCAGGCTGGCTTACCCAAGCAGTGATTTTGGTCAACACACGTAAGTGAAGGATGTTGAGATAAGGCTGTGACCTTTTAGTTTATTTTGTTCCTCTCCCACAAATGCTGGATGGATCCAGCCAAGCAGCTGAGTTCTTTTGTGAGACTAAATTAATCTCATTAATTCAAATGTCTAAAATTAGCAACCTTTAGTAATCAGTGACCTGGACTGCTTTCTTCTGGCGCGGTGAGTGGGTTAAATCTCTTCAGACCATCTCATCATCAAGCTCTCTGGAGCTGTTCTGCTCTCCCTGTGTCTCTGAATTACCGCCTGAAAGATTGCACTTTTAAGCTGTTTGCTCCAGTGAAGGATTATGGGGCTTCAAATAATGCAGAGACCACTGTGCTTGGAGTCTCCATGACAGGTCTGGGCCCCTTCATAGGAATCATGGTGTAACCAAGAGGTGTATTAAAAGAAAAAGTGGGAGGGGGGGACTGTTTTTGTTTGAGGTTTTGTAGAGTCTTAACTTAGTAGTTTCCCGGGAGGCTTTGAGGCACATGCTGAAGCCAGTGAGTTAGCCGTCCTTATCAAACTTACTTGAATTAGATCCCCAGTGTACAGAAATTGGACACACTAGTTGCATTTCAGAGGGACCAGTCATTGGTCAGCCTCATGTCTGTGGAGCAAAACCATCATGAAGGAACTCAGGGTCACTGTTTCAGCTTGCCTTCACCTCAGCTGTTCCCATGCAGGAAAAGACATCATTCCCTTTGGCCATAAGAGGCTGTATAGGTGATCCAAGCCCTTCTGCCTCATCTATCTTACCCATTTATACTAAGCCTCTATTTCTGAAAGTCTCGCCTTGACCTTGCCTTAACAGAACTCGTGTCCTGATGTTGCCATCACAGAGGAAAATGTCCAGTTATGCAGCCTCTGGACTAAACAGCCACCAACCCAATGGAGACGACCTCATCTGTGAGTAAACTGCAAGTTCATTTGCCTTTCTTGGAGATGAAAACCTCTCAGCAGCTCAGGAGCTCTCACAAGAAGGTCTGAATCCTTCTACATGGGAGTGGGTAGTCCCTCTGCTGGCTGATGTTCCAGTGGAAATTAGAAGGGGTTTCGGGCAGAGGAGAAATTCTAGAGGGGAGAATAGATGCAAGAAATTCCTAGGAATGTCACAGAAACCAACATCCCCCCCCTCCGCTCCTTCCAAACCAACCCACCTAAAAAATGCCATTTTGTGGGCTATTTTGGAAAGGAGTCCATGCCTGGGGAATTTTTGGCTGATGCTTATGGCTTTTAGAAGTTTCTGGGAGATCAGACGAATAGAAACAGGAACCAGATGGGACTTCTAGCTGCTGGAAAGAAAGGGAGAAAGAAAGGAAAAAAAATAATCCATCCCTTGTTTAAAATCTGAAGAGCACTTGTTCACTTTTGGGGAGTTTCCCCTTCACCCTGGTTTTCTTATTTTAAAGTAATTTAGCACAGTTCCATTATATTCTCATAGGACGTTTCTCTCTTTTGTTGTTGTTGCTAGGAATTTTTCTTTCTTTTGCAATAAAAACCAGTTTATTCTTAGGAGAATTTAAGCCTTTGCCTTACTAGATAAAAAGAAAGACAGCTGTTGGTTTTGTTCTCACAGCAACCTCAACATCCCTTGGCAATTTACTCACTGAGTTTATCTCTGTGTGGCTGCAAAATACAAAATAAGATGGTGGCAGTGAAGAGTAGAGCAAAGTCAGAGATGGCTCTGAACTAGCAAAACTGAGTGTGTGTAATTTCCATTTTATGTAAATGACCAAAAAAGGGAAAGTTGCACTATACTGAAATGCGAGGTGCACTCAAACATGGACTGCAGATGCCTGGTGCCCTCAGTGACCCAACTCGTCAGGTACAGCGTTGGATTTGTAGAATCCTGACCATTGGGTTTTGGGGGTTATGGATTTTAAAAAAACCCAGCCTGGTCCAGTCCCAGGCTCCATTTTATCAGACCTTGGCTCTGGAGCTGGTTCATTTCTGGAATATATCCCAGAGACTGAATAAGGGCCAAGGAGCATTTTCCAGCTCCTGTGTCCAAGCTGGACTCCGTGCTGGGAGTCGCAGTCCAGCTGAGATCTGACACCATGCTGGAACTGGGCTTAGTTGTGCATCATCCCCATAGTCTTTTCTTTCCATACTGATGGGCCAGAGGGAACCAGTGCCATACATCACATTGTGCCCCTACTCTTCTCAGGAAAGATGTGAGATCTTATTCCCTGGCTGGTGGGAAGAATGGAAAATAGATAGCAGCTCATAGGTGAAGGTGATAACTGGCTATTACCGTACTTAGAAGCTTTGCCAATTATCTTCTTTTAAGCATTCTGCTTTTAAGGATTCTTTTAGTGGTTAATGTGTCTTCCAATTTTCCAGAAATTTACAGCTTCCTGGAAAAAAAATGCACTCTTCCCAGGATCCTATCTTGTTTTACAGTCTTCCTCTCTTAACATCATTTCGTATTATTTCTCGTGCTCTCTAATCTGCAGCCATTCCCAAGACAGGGTCATCAACACAATGCAATGATCCCTGATAAACTTTCACCCATGGTTTGTGTGTCAATATGAGAGGAAATCCATCCTTGGGACTTAGTAAATGGGTATTTCTAGGGATTGGATGCTTCACAAACAACGCTTAGACTATACTCTGTGTTATGATACTTACTAATGGTGATGCACAAAGTCAACAGTAGATATTTTAAGACATGATAGTTGATGCAAATGTGTGTGCACTTGAACACATGGCTTTGGTTCCAAGGTTCGTCACAGACAGACCTGACTAAGCCAGCTGCTTGAACCCTCTGTTATGGTGACCAATTGATTAGATTAGTTTAAATGAAAAAAATGCCCCCAAATGCAAGGCTTTGGTTTTGTACATCCCATTTGAGCTCCGACTTTATGGCTTGCTTTTTTCTTTTGGCTCCAACTGGTCAGGCAGGATGTCCCGTATTAGAATGCTGCTCAGTTGTTGTTGTTCTTTGCGGTTCCAGTGAGCTGTTTTTTCAGAAATGTCTGGAAGGAAAGAGACAGAGGGGACTTGGTTCACAGGTTTTGTACAAAAGCTTTTATTTTCCCTTTTTCCCCCCTCTTTTTTACTTCCCATGGATCTGATGTGCGAGTGCTGTCAGGAGTGACATGCTCAGATTTTACAGCGAAGCGTTTATCACATGACTCAGGTGACTGCTGTTGCAGTTGAAGCAGTATCATCCTAGGAATTTTGTTTGAATTTAGCTGCCAGCTCAAACAAAAGTCATCTGAGTAGGCAAGCTTTTACTGGTTTCACTTTGGCTTCCCACGTCGGTTTAATTTGGCCCATGCTTGCTCAAAATGTCTCCAGCTGTCTAGAAACTTGTTCCTAGCATTCTGGAACACTCACAGTCCTTTTGGCCGGTGTGACCTTAGTTGTAAAGGCTGGATGTTGTTTATTTCAGATCATTTTTACTAGCTCTATTATATATAAGGCAGCTTGCATAATCGTAAGAGACAAATGTGTTGGTTGCTGTCCTTCTGTTCACAGGTTCTAAGTTACTGTTGTCCACAATGCTCAGGCATGAGATTTCCCAGAGAACACCACCTCGTTTTGTTCCATGGGAGTTTTTGCTAATATTTTCTTTTATATTATCACTCTGTTGGAAACTTTCCATGCACTTCACATGGAGGACCAAAGTGTCGGAAGATTAAAGGAATGTCTTTTTTGCCCAACTAACGTGAATTGGGTGCTGAACTAGGCACAACTATGCACTACTCAGAAAAAGAAATGCCTTCTAAAGAAGTAAGTGACTGGAAGGAGGCAGTGAAAATCCATCAGATTTGCATGACTAATTAGCTTATCCACTAGTTATTATCCTTGTGTTTACTTGTAATGAGAATCTTCAAAGATTATTCTATATTGGACATGTAGCTGACTTTTTGCTTACATAATTCTTTCTGTACCCAGATATTGCTGTGATGGTTGTTCTACTTCAGCAAATCTAGTTTGTTCTTTAGATCAGGTGCGAGTCAGGGAGGCCATAAGAAGGAAGGGGAAAGACTCCTCAGCAGGGTCTGTTGTAATAGGACAAGGGGAAATGGTTTCAAAAATAAAAGAAGGAAAATTTAGGCTGGATGTAAGAAGTTTTTTTTACAACTAAGGTAGTGAGGCATACGTTGCCCAGATAGGTATTGGGTGCTCCAACCTTGGAGACAGCCAAGGTCAGGCTGAACAGGCTCTGAGCACCTGATGGAGCTGTGGGTGTCCCTGTTCATTGCAGGGGAGTTGAACTAGGTGGCGTTTAAGGGTCCCTTCCAACTCAAACAACTCTATGAACTTCCTTACTCATAAATGTTGAGAGGATATGAGTTGTCATCTTTAAAAAAAAAAAGTCACTTTTAAATACCTACTAGTGTTTCTGTATATCCCACAACTAATTGAACTTACTGCTGGGGAAAGGATTAATTTTCACATGCTGAAAGCAGGGTGCAGGAAGCACGTT